ATAGATAGATAGATAGATAGATAGATAGATAGATAGATAGATAGATAGATAGATAGATAGATAGATAGATAGATAGATAGATAGATAGATAGATAGATAGATAGATAGATAGATAGAAAGAAAAAATCTACTTTAATTTCCTTGGTCTAACTGAAGTTTTTGTCACAAAAGGCACTTTATCTAAACTTATAGGATGTCTGGCTATCATCCACTTAAGGCAATGATTACAGATGGGCACCAACCGCTGGTTCAGTGGTAGCATCCCCTTAAGACAATGATTACAGATGGGCACCAACTGCTGGTTCAGTGGTTTGTGCCGGTTCGTTTATTGCCCAAACAGGCACTTAGTGCTTCCCAGGCCAGGCTCTCCTGGCAAGCGCCCACTCAGAGGCAGCACTCCAGCTTCCCTGCCTCACTTCCTCCAGGTGCTGCCTCTCAGTGACCATGGGCCGGAGGAGGCAGGACTGGGAAGTGCCAAACAGCTGTTCAGCCAATAAACAAACCAGCATAAACTGCCAAACTGGTGGCCTGTGCCCATCTCTAGTCATGATCAATTTCTGAAATTATTATTTGCAGGTCTCTGTTTCGACTACAGCCTCCCAAACAAATGCGTATAAATAAATGAGGACATGCTCTGCACATCTGAGGGAAGTGGGCTGTAGTCCAGGAAATTTTATTTCAAACAAAACTTGCCAGTCTTTAAGTTGCCACAAGATTTTTTTTCTTTTTGCTGCAACAGAAATAGTACAGTTCTGATCCTCCCTTGTGTGTGTGTTTGTGTGTGAGTGCGCGCGTGTATTTGTTTTGTCGCACATCCCCCTCCCCATCAATTCCTGGGACCTCATTATTTCCTATATTTGCAGGCAGCTCTGTAAAACTACCTCATTTGTCTGTAAACAAGCTAGAACAAGATATTCCCCAAATTGCACCATTTACCTTGGAAGAAGGTAATCATTACCTGAGCAGAAATGCTGCTTCGGAGAGAAAGATAGTGCAAAACATTGTCTCCATATTTTGCCTTCAGTTTCTAGTTCTACAAAGGGTAGAGATTTGCACTTTTTAAAATGGAAGATGAGAATCTGGGCCGGATTATGGTCTAAATGGGTTCCAGGTACTGGATAGGATCTGAGCAAAACCCAGAAGACCAAGTACAGTGGGGTCTTGACTTGAGAACTTAATCTGTATTGGAAGGCGGTTCTCAAGTCAAAAAGTCTGTAAGTCAAGTCTCCATTGACCTACAGTGCATTGAAAACTGATTAATCCCGTAACAGGCCGTTTTTGTTCCATTTTGGTTTTTTTCTGGTCTGCAAGTCAAATCTCAGTCTGCAAGTCAAACCTAAATTTTGCGGCCAGAGAAGTCTGTAACTCAAAAAGTCTGTAAGTCAAGCCGTCTGTAAGTCAAGGGTCCACTGTAATATGAAAAGCTTATCCTATCAAGAAAGGTTGCCATGCTTAGAGCTGCTTAACTTAAACAAAGGGTGTGTGGGAGGAGTATAAGGTTACCCATTGCAACTGAACAAAGACAAGATCAGGAAAGATAATACAGTATAGATCACAGTGGAGTTATGGAATTCAGTCATAAGATGTGAAAACAAAGGGTGTGTGGGAGGAGTATAAGGTTATCCACTGCAACTGAACAGAGACAAGATCAGGAAAGATAATATAGATCACAGTGGAGTTATGGAATTCAGTCATAAGATGTGATGACAACCATTAACTCTGATTGCGTGAAAAGAGGATCAGCTAAATTCAGGGATGCTATGGCTTTCAGTGGCTAGTAGGGTGGTTATTCAGTATCCACCTATACATCTTAGTTTGCTGGGGAATGCAAGACGAAAGGTGCAACTGAGTTCATGTTCTGCTGGACTTCCGCCAGGCAACTGGTGGCCAGTCTCTAAACAGACTGTTGGATTAGAGATGCCCTTGGTTGGATCCAGAATGGCTCCTGTTATGTTCTTAAATCAGAATCAGTATAATTTCTGTGAGTTCCAAAAAGGATGCCCAAAACAAATAGAACTTTGGAAAATCCAGAACAGAAAGAAATATAGCTTATACAAAAGAACACAATATAAAGAAGAGTGAGTATATTCTTCCGGTCAAGGAAAGGAGCAGAAAAAGACAGACTTCTCTTTTCTTTCTGGAATAAGCTGATGCATCCTAGGAGCAAACAAAAATCTGTAAGTGGAGAAAAAAGAAAAAGAAGTGCATCCTTATATTTGGGTTCCTTCATAATATACTTTATAAAGCCTTCTTACTATTCACTTTTTACCCCACCTTTCTCCTTAAAAAGGACTCAAGGCGGCTTGCATCACTAAAAGACAATATTTAAAAGCAAAAAAGCAGCAAGAACACAAATATTAAAAATGAATCAAACAAGCAGTACACTAAAATTGTAAACAAAATCAACCCCCAAAAAGTACTCAAAGCAACAAGACATAACAATCCATTTAAAAACCTCTCTGAGACAGTCACAGAGAGAACACCTGGTAAACGAAATCAACCCCAAAAAAGTACTCATAGCAACAAGACACAACAATCCATTTAAAAACCTCTCTGAGACAGTCACAGAGAGAACACCTGCCTGGAGAGCAAGGTCTTTGTCTGCTTGTGAAAAAATAGCAAAGATGGAGCCAGTCTACAATACCACATTAGGAAGTAACAGGAAAAGGACTGAAAATAAAACTGCCAAATAACTTAATGCTTTTATATAAATCCATGGATGCAACTATGTTTTCAATATTGCCTGTAGTTCTGAATGAAATGGATTGATTCCCTAAAGGAAACCACAGGCTTGAGTTTGCAAGAGCTGAGCTTGAGTTTATACGAATTAAAGCAAAGTGTGCTGCTTATATACCGCCCCATAGTGCTTCAAGCACCACAAATTAAAGCAAAACGTGCTGCTAATATACCACCCCATAATGCTTCAAGCACTCTCGGGTTATGCAGGCTCCACATTGCCCCCACCCCCAGCGAGCTGGGTACTCATTTTACCAACCTCTGAAGGATAGAAGGCTGAGTCAACCTTGAGCAGCTACCTGGGATTGAACCTCAGGTGGTGAGCAGTTTGGGTGCAGTACAGCAGTTTAACTACTAAGGACAAGAATTGAGATCACTTATGTATCGGGTCACCGTAAGCTGGAGGTGACTTGACAAATGCAACAACAACAACAACAACAACATATAGTTCAGAATGCTGTATCTCAGAATCATGCTGTAAAATTGAGGAACTAAAGAGGCAATCAGAATTGGTGAGAAGAGGGAACATATGTAAGGTTCATTTCAAGAGCTAAAACAGCAGAGACTCCACTGTAAGCCTTTGATGGCACCTAACAACGTAGTTTAAGAAGGGACTGAAGGGTGAGGGAAGAACTGAGCAGGCTATAAAACAGAATGCTCTATCTCAGAATCATGCTGTAAAATTGAGGAACTAAAGAGGCAATCAGAATTGGTGAGAAGAGGGAACATATGTAAGGTTCATTTCAAGAGATAAAACAGCAGAGACTCCACTGTAAGCCTTTGATGGCACCTAACAACGTAGTTTAAGAAGGGACTGAAGGGTGAGGGAAGAACTGAGCAGGCTATAAAAGTTCATAGGAAAGGGAGAAACAAGATATTACATTTTACCACTCTTCTATCTGTTAGTTTTATTGATTAGTTGCTTTTCAAATGCTTTCTCTCCTGCCACATACACTCCGACCTCCCAGTGAACACAAAAGCCAACACAGAGCTGTACTTCTCTGCACTGCATCTTCACAGAAATCTTGTGACAGGTTCAAGGTCACCCAGCAAGTTTCACGGCTCACTGGAGATACGGACCCGGATCTCCCCAAAACCCAGTCCAATGCTTCAACTGCTGCAGTTGAGCTTGAAAGCTATTTTCTAGGAAGAGAGATTTTGAAGCGGTTGAAAATCATCCTTGAAGCTTTGCTCCCGAGTCCTGGATGCGGGAACAGCCAGGACTCGGGAGAGACAAACCACTCTTGCTTTTCAAATGCTTTCTATAGGCAGATTTCCAAAAGTTGTGTTTCAGCAATGCTCACAGAAACAAGCACGGATGAAAATAAAAATATCGCGACACGCTAAAACACAACTAATTTATTTCAGTGAAAGGTTTTTAAAAAGCAAGAGTCTCAGCTCTAAGTTCTGGGTCTCAATGGCGCAACTTAAGAAAGGGCTCAAGGGTGGGGAGAGAAACAAAAAGGCTATAAAAAGACATACAAGAGGGTGAAAATTTAGTTTCACCCTTCCAGCAATTATTTTTTCTGTCCTGCCATTTCCACACATCCCGTCAGAGAAATAAACCTGTTCGTTTTTAAGTTTGCATTCTACTATTTTATAACAAATTATGTATTACAGACAATACAGTAATTCCCAAGAAACTCTGCGGGGGCCGACCAATAGGAAAAGGGAGTCCCACAATATGATGTCCTTCGGGATTTGTAGTTCTATCCGCCCTTGTCTGCGACACGAGGTTTAGTGGCTGATTTCCCTCTCGGGTTTCTCGCTCCGACGGCCAGGACTACGAGTCCCATCTGGCTTTGCGGCCCGAAGATGAGAGCCAAGGCGGGGATGGGCTCCGGCGCACAGAATGTGCGTCAACGGAGAGGGGCCAGGTGGTTTGACTGGGCGTTCATGTGGAGGTCAGCGCTCCGCGGCGAGGTGAGCTTAAGCGAGTAAGCTCGGCGGTCTTGGGACTTTTCCCACCCCTTTAGTTGGCTCCTCTTTCTTGTCTGTCGGCTCATCGCCTTTGTCCGGGAGGCCCGCAGTTACGGTGGCTGTTCAGCGACTGCAGGGAAGGAGCGGGAAAGGGAGCGAGGTGGGGATAAGAGGAGCCTTGAAGGGGCGGGAATGAAAAAATATGGTGGCCGGAGAGAGAAGTCCTGGATTCGTGCACTCAGATTTAGGGGGGAGGAAGGAGTGCACATTGCACAATATTTTGCACTATGTTGGCCCTAAATAAATAAACCAAAGAAACAAAGCATTTTGCCTGATATACTTGCACAGAGATCACCTCTTCTAAATAAATGTGTGTGGTTTTTTTGGGGGGGCGGGGGAGAGAAATTCATTTGAAATGTGATACTGGAAGAGAGTTTTGCAGATGCTCTGGACTGCCAGAAAGACAAAACAAGTTGGTCGTAGAGCAAATCAAGCCTGAAGAGGTAAAAATGGTGAAAATGAGGCTGCCATGCTTTGGGCACATCATGAGAAAGCAGGACACTCTGGAAAAGACAATAATGCTGGGAAAAGTTGAGAGCAGCAGGAAAAGAGGAAGAGCAAATACTTGGTGGATTGACTCCCTAAAGGAAACCACAGGCTTGCGTTTACAAGAGTTGAGCAAGGGTATTAAGGACTGGACATGTTTCAGATCTCTCATTTATAGGGTCACCCTAAGTTGGAGGTGATTTGACAGCACATAACAAGTTTGATTATGTGTAGACTTTTGTAATTCTAGAAAGCCTGGCTTTTGTCTTAGGTATTTTAGGAAACTGTTTTGCTTCATCCAATTTTTGATGCTGCTGCACATTTCTTCAGGTGTGACTTCTTGGAAACTTAGAAGTAGAATTGAAACCTGACCTCAATGGCTACCAAGATCTTTGAGACCATTGGTAAACTTGGCCTGGGGCTGGCAGTTGCTGGTGGAATTGTCAACTCTGCTCTTTATAATGGTAAGAAGACCATGTCTGTTATAACATTTACTTGTCAGCTGCAGGTGAGTGCGCCTGGTTTAGTGATACCCATTTGGGATTCTTTAGTAGGATGCAGATAATGGCTTAGGAGAAACAAGTGACTCCTTGACCTTCTGACAAAAATAACT